GTACAAGCCCTGTTCCAGGAAGCAGGAAGAGCAAAAATGGCCTCAGCAGTAAGAGGACATCCTGGTCCTAGAGCCAGGGCTTGGGGCAGCCTGCGGTCCTGGCAGAGAGCTGGTGGAAGGGACCACGGGGACATGATGCCACACACAGAAGTGAGACCAATAAGATTGTGGGAACTGCAGGGACAAGGGCTGACATCAAGGAAGTTTGGGAGGCAGGGGACAGCTGGGAAGGGACAACCAGGAGAACAGCTGGAAATTGAAAAGAGATGCAAGGGAGAAAGGGGAGGGAGCGCTCAGCTCAGGTGGTGGAGAAGAAGGGGGGACAGGATAGAGAGAGGCAGAAGATGGGACACAAACAGAGGCGGAGAGACTGAGAAACAGGGAGACAGAGATGGATGGAGGCTGGGAGAGACAAAGAGGAGCCAGGCCTGGGCGGGAGAGGTCCTACGTGGGGAGAAAAGGTGGAGAGGAGAGCAGGAAAAAGAGGGGAGCGCAGCCGTCTGGGGGGTTCCGACCGGGCCCAGCCCACCGCTCTGGCAGGCTGGGTCTCTCCCTTTTCTGCCACTCAAGGAGCTCAGGATCCCCTCCCCCAGAGCTGAGGGCGGAGAGCTCGCCTCCAGCCCCGCCCTAGTCCAGAGGCTCCCCCTCCCCAGGCCCTCGGAGGCGGCCCCTGGGGGCTGGCTGTGCAGAGATAGACGGCGGGGGCCCAGCTGGCGCGTTATCAGCCTTCTCCAGGAGCGCGCCTGAGCCACTCCGTGGCTGCCAGTCTGAGATTAGGCCCCCGGAGGGTCATTAAGCGCTGCCCTGGCCCGGGCCCAGCCTCCTTTCCCTCCCGGATCTGGCCAGGCTGGCAGGTGGGAATGAGTGATAAGGATTGGGGGTCTCAGCGGTTCTGAGGCCCGCAGCTCCCTGCTCCCAGCACCCGCCCACCGGCCCCTCCTCGTCAGAGAGGGAACACCGGGTAAGGGTGAGGGGCTGTAAGGTCAGTACCGGCCCAGCCCCTGCAGGAGCCTCCCGAGGTCCTGCTGTCCTAGACCTGTCCATATTGACCAAGACAGAATGAGAAGGGGGCCAAGGAGGCTCTTAGAGAGGCCCCAGACAGCTCCTGGGGAGCTCCGTGAGTCCAGGCAGAAGCAGGCTTCTCCTGGCAAAAGCTCACAGGTGTGAGGGGCTGCGCTCCACTTGCTGCAGGGAGACAGGGATGGTGGCTCTGCCTTCCCACCCTGGCAGGCTCGAACCCACTCCCACCCCCAGGGACAACTGAGGGCAGAATTGGGAGGAAATGTGGCCTCTGCAAGGAGACTCAGATCTGGCAGCCAGAAGCTTCCTTCCAGGAGGTGGGAAAGAAAGAGGGGGCTGTTTGTGCCTTAGCAGAGGCCTGACCCTCTAGGAACTTGTCTCTTCAGTGAGTGGAGAAGCCAGGCTGGCTGGTGGCCTGGCTTTGTCCTCTGGTCTAATCAAGGAAGACTTCCCAGAAGAAGAGAAACCTTGATTGCGTCAAGAAAAAAGAATGGGCAGGGTTTAAACTGGCAGAGGTGGGATGAAAAGGCATAAGTCACGGAAAGTCGGGTAAGCAAAAGCCTAGAGTAGAAATCGCAAGCCACAGTTCATTAAGCTGAATCCCAGAGAGGGGAGGTGACTTGTCTCAGGACACACAGAAAGGCAGGGATAGGCCTGGAGCAAAGACGCTACTTCCCCCATCCCTAGGCCTCTCCCATCTGCTGTAGGCTGCATCCTAAACCCCAGTGAGGTGAAGAGGATAGTTCCCATTTAAGACAAGTCTTCCTCAGTGGTACTTGGTGAAGCCTTGGAACGATGAGTTCGATGAGTTCGTGTCCTTTGTAGGGACATGGATGAACCTGGAAACCATCATCCTCAGCAAACTGACACAAGAACAGAAAATCAAACACCGCATGTTCTCACTCATAGGCGGGTGTTGAAAAATGGGAACACATGGACACAGGGAGGGGAGCATCACACACTGGGGTCTGCTGGGGGGAAATAGGGGAGGGACAGCGGGGGGTGGGGAGTTGGGGAGAGATAGCATGGGGAGAAATGCCAGATATAGGTGAAGGGGAGGAAGGCAGCAAATCACACTGCCATGTGTGTACCTATGCAACAATCTTACATGTTCTTCTCATGTACCCCATAACCTAAAATGCAATAAAAAAATAAAAATAATTTTTAAAAAAGAATGGCCATAGGGAGATCCGTATGCAGTAAGAAGCTGTGGGGCAGCACAGTGAGGTTCCTCTGATGAAATTATGACCAGGTGGGCATGAGTCAGTGCTGAATACAACAAGAGGCCCTTGCCCGCAACATCATGGGAGGACATGAAGAAGGGATTCTTTAAGGGAGCAAGTGAAAACCTACCAAAGCGTAAACAACTTGAAGCCAATAGGCTATCCCTTAAAAATGAGAGACCCTGGCCGGGCTCGGTGGCTCATGTCTGTGATCCCAGCACTTTGGGAAGCTGAGGTGGGTGGATCACAAGGTCAGGAGATTGAGACCAGCCTGGCTAACATGGTGAAACCCCATCTCTACTAAAAATACAAAAAATTAGCTGGGCATGGTGGTGGGCTCCTATAATCCCAACTACTCTGGAGGCTGAGGCAGGTGAATTGCTTGAACCAGGGAAGCAGAGGTTGCACTGAGCCAAGATAGCGTCACTGCACCCCAAGCAAAACATAAAAAGAACAAAAAGAAAAAGAGTACTTAAATGAAGATATGAAGATGTGAATGGATTCGTGGAATACCTAAGACAGATTCACAGATGGGTCACAATGGGCAAATTATAGCAACAGACAGTGAGGAAGTAAGGAAAGAAATTGCAGTTGCTTTAAAGAAAGACAGTCCACTGGAAGGAAGAAGATTAAAAAGACAAGCAGCAAAGAAAAACGCGATGGTGTGTTTCCTTTGTAGAAAGCCCAGTCCTGGAATTGCAGATTGTCCTGCCGCCCGTGACAGTCAAGACATGGACACTGGAATATGTGACAGGTGTGCGTCCACAGAGCACGCAATAACCAAGGGAAAGGCTAAAGCAGACCCGGCTCTTGGCAAATGTCCTTTTGCAAAACGTTTTGTTTGTGGAGAAATGGGGTACCTGTCTAGATCTGGTCCAGATAATCCACTTTGTGGCTCTGTGGGACATTTAAAGAAAGATTGCCCTGAGTCAGAATTCAGATCAAATGGTCACAGTTGGTCGCTGGGCAAAGGGAATGAGTACAGACTATGAAGAAATTTTGGATGCACCTAAACTGCAAAAACCCAAAACAAAAACACCTAAAGTTGTTACTTGTTGGCAACAACTAGCACCATTATTAGTTACCACCTCATCGTTACTTTCTAAAGCAGCCGCACTTCGCAGGTTAGAGTGGGGCTCCCTGATGGCCAGGACTACACTGTAGATATATCAGGATGATTTGGGTGTGCTCAAAAACAATTCTCCTTATTCTGTCCATCAAATAGTACTTCTACCGCTGTTTGGAGAAAACTGAAGGGAAGAAGAAGATGATTAAATGGATTCTCTAAAAGAACATATTTTAAGAGACAGAACTTAGGCGTAACTAAGTGATTGTATACCTGATTGTAACAATCATCTTTTATAAAAGCAAAATTATGCATAAATGTGAAACACCCCTAACCAAAGGGTACAAATGAATTTTCACCTATATTGTTTTCTTGGCTCAAAGTATCAATTTATTATTATAATAGAAATGTGTAAGTTACTAGAAAGTCTGTATTTTTTAAATATGGAATAAAAATGCATTTTCTTAAAAAAAAAAAAAAAAAGAAAAGAATGTCCATGACATGAGGTTGTGACAGGCTGAGACAAGCAGCAGAGGGAGAGCTTTGGGACAAGGTGGGCAGCCTCCCACCCTCTGGCCCCACGTCTCTGGATCTGGGAATTCTCCTGGGTGAGTCTGTCTCAGGTTATCACCCCAAATAGAGACAGAAGCTGTTCCCCTAAGGTCAACAGTCACAGAGATGAGGGGCCTCCAGGTTCAGCCAGTCAGGTAAGGTGCCCCTCCCCTCTCTCCCTCTCCTAGAGGACCCAGTTTCCTGATCCTCCTGCCCAGCCCCCACTCCCACCCCAGGACTGGGTGTTGGGTGGGGCAGGCATAGGTGAGGACTGGGCTCTCCTCCAGCTCTGCTGTGAGACTGGCCAAATCTTCCCCCGAGAGAAAGCTCAGCTCAGAGAGGACACCAGCTTTCCCAAGCTCACACAGCAAGTTGGCAGAGGACCCAGGACTCAGATCTGGGTTTCCTGAGTCTCAACCCAAGACTTCTTCCTGACCCTTCCTATGCCAAAGCCCAGCACAGAGGGGATACAGGAGGGAGACAGAGCTAGATCTGTGTGAACCCACTGTGACGCCTCCAGCACAGAGGCAGAGGGTAAGCGGGGCTGTGCAAGGGAAAGCCCAGAGTCTCAGGGATGAAGGGGATGAAGGGTGCTTCGGGGGAGGGGACTTGCAGGAACAGCGCCACCAGGAGCAAGGGTAGAGGGGGTGAGCTCGCCGGCCCAGGGGCCTCCGACAGCCTCTTCCTTCCCTATATACATGAAACTGATGAGCACTAGGGGCACGAAGCTCGCGTCAGGGTCTGCCCAGGGAAGGGTGCCCCCCTGGGTGCCCCAGGGAAGGGCAGACCCTGATGTGAGCTGGGTGCCCCTAGTGCTGATCAGCCTTACCTGGCTGCTCTGGTCAAATAAAGGGTTTGGCCTGAGGGGACAAGAACCACCCCACTGGCAACAATGAGCTCACCTGTCCTGGTCTCCCCACCTCCCAATTCTCCACATGTCATCAGACATTCCCATTCGAGGGTGCTTCACTCTCAAAACACCAGAAAAGACACCAACCCTCTCTTACCCTCATGCTGGACACAGACTCTCAGCACCTTTCCAGCCTGGGCCCCCTCGGTCCAGCTACCCTGTGGGCACAGGGACTTTCTGAAAAATCCCCCAAAGCCACTATGACAGAGTCAGAAGGCAATTATCATGATTCAGAAAGCAAGATGGAGACTCACTGGAAGCCTGAGGGGCCGCCGCTGAGCCTCAGCCCCAGAAATACAAAAAGTCTTTATTTCACAGAAATAAGGGCCATTTCCACAGTTATGGGGAAGGATGTGCGAGAGGATGGGAGGTGCCGAGCTGACTGTCCTCTTCAGAAGGCTCTCCTGAGCTGAGTGGGAGATGCCAGACCCAGCCCAACCCCAACCTAGAAACCGTCTGAGCTCCAGCCTTGACTGGCTATGCTTCAAGGGAGGGTAGGGCTGGCATGGGGTTGGAGGGAGTTGGCCCGCTATTGCAGATTCCACAAAGAGAAGGAGGGGGCTTAGGTGGTAGCACTGGGCATCCATCCCAGGCGCCTGGAAGTCTTGGGGTTGGGGCCACAGGCAAGGTTACATCGGGGTGCTTCGGACCTTGCCTTCCTCCTCGGGAACATTCTCATAGGCATTCTCATGCTCACTGGACCTGAAAGAAGAAGGCATGAGCCTGGTGGGTCATCGCTCCTCCCATTCTATCCCCCTCCCTACCCCATCCTGCACTTGTGATGGTAATAGCTTCCAGGATAAACACTTGACTCCCAGAAGGGGATTCTCCTGACCACAGCTGAGCTTATGTGCCCGAGACTGGAGGCCTCTCAGTGTCCCCTCCCTACACCTATTTCCCTCCCCCTGTGGGCTGCTCCACCACTGGGTCCCTACTGAGCCCATCCCTCACAGAGCCCATCCCCCACTGAGCCCATCC